ATACAGTCAACACTTTAAATGAAGACACGTTTTTTCCCACACCTTTCCAATTATGATCTATTTGATTCACGATCCAATGATGATTGCATTTTGATGGTTTATCCCTTATGATATATACTAGACGGTAACATTTTATTATTTGTGCAAACTTTAATATAAATTCATATTTTTTTTTTATATATATGTAAACATTTTTAGATTTATTTGGTAATTGCCTAATTTTAAAGAGAAAGGTGTGAAAGATAACGGTGAACAGCGAAAAAAATCGCAACGCCGGGTATTAATAAATCAGTGAAATGACATCACCGCATATAAATTAAGTAAAATATACATAACCATATATATAATATATTAGATGTTGCATGAGCAGATATGTAGATTTGCATGTAATATAAGGCATGGCACAAACATTTGTCATTGTTACAATAACATTCAGCATATTCGATTATCGTGCATATTCTGTTACATTTCTCGAGCTGTATAAATTGATTATCTTTTAGCACTTAAGCCCTTATTATATAGCATATATTTACTCTCATTCGTTTGGAAAATCTATTTCCCCGGGTTTTGTTTTAATTTAATTTTTTTTTTTGCAAATTTATCTTGTAAATCTGGTGATCACTTACGTTACCATTTATTTTATTTGATGTTGAACGTAAAATTTGACGATGAATAACAAAAAAAAAAACGTATTCACGAACAAAAGCAAAGTGGTAAAAAAAAAAAGGTGATATGTGATATCAAAAGAAATGTAATGATTTACAACAATGCGAGAATTAAAATTTCCGCAGTAATCTGGAAATTGTATTTCCGAAACACCACAGTCATTGTTCCATATTAATATTTAAAAATGAATGCGATCTCTTTCATTCAGGAGTACTTCCTAATCATAACAATGTATAATGTGACCGATCACTTGATAAGGCGCATGTTCAACGTAAGGAGTTGATGGGGACATATGATGGGGGGGGGGGGGACGTATGAAGTTTCGAAGATTTACATTAAATTAATCCAACAGGACATAATCCAACAGGACACATGATACTTAATTTCCCCATCTCAAAAAAAAAAAAAAAAAAAAGATAAAAAAAAATTCATGAACACATGATCTCATTACATCAAAAAAGATTTGTTTTTGCGCCAAAAACCAAAAAACATCGCATGTTTGTGCTGCGCCACATCCTTCCATAAGATTCCATATTGGTAATTTATAATAACCAGATTTTCTAAATTCGTCGATCAGGTGATCTGTAATTAATTTTCATCATCAAAAAGAGACATTTTGTCAATAAACGTAAAACTGATTGATAAGGCGCCTTTTAATCAAGGTCACGTTACGGATCGTATGATTTACTAACTTCATGATCTGAATAAAAGATTACTGCGCCAAATTCGTGTGATTAATATTATTTTTTTTTGTAAGCAATTTTTAGTAAAAAAACGTAAAACAAGGGAATATTATGGTATAAATAAATAAACCGATTTAACAATGATAACGGGGAATTTGAATAAAATGGGAATTTGGTAATGTGGCTTTTTTGGCGCCATGGGGTTTTCATAATCCAAAAAAAAGGCGGGTAAAATAAATCCCAAAACGAACGAATGTGCGAAGATAACATATTGTTCTTAACCGGTAATGCTTACTCCGATGTAATAAGTCTGTCAGAGAAGTGGGTAAAAATATCATTTGAAATTTTTGAAGAACAATGTGAGGATATTATATTATGTTAACGATTATTAAAATTTATGGTTGGTTATGTCATATCGGTAAATGATTCTTACATATATCCCAATAGTTTCTCGGTAGATTAATCCTTTAAAAGGATATCAATTAATAAAGTTATTTTTTATACATGTGCTTCTTTTGCCACGCGAGGCCTTTATTTTATTTACTCCGTTCCATTTTAAGTTTAGCCTCAAATCTGGTAACAAAGAAAAAGACATAATTTAAAGATAGAAGATAATTAAAGAACAGTAGATAATGTACCTAATAATAATGATTACACATTCGGGATGTCCGTGTCCGTGGACGGTATGACATGTGTAACCAAGATAAAATTCAAACTATTATTTTCCAGAATGAAAACCAAATAGGCAAGGTGCAGAAGAATTAAAAATATAAGAATTCCACGTTTTTCATTGAAAGGCAATAGAAAAAAAATTTTTTATTTATTCAAGATCGTACAATATAAATTTTCTTTGTCCCAAATTATTTATTATTTATTTATTTATTTATTTACTTTTTATTTGATTCATCACTCGTTTTCAAATAAACAAAAAATCATACATTCCCATTTGGGAAACTTGCTTAATATAACTCAATGGATTAATCCAATCATTGAACTTATTTATCGAATGATATCATTGGACAAAAATTATGCATTGCATGAAAATGGGTTATCAAATTTCCAAAACGCATTACAAATCTCAAACCTTTTTATCTAAAACCATTTGATTTTGTTTCCATAAATCTTTGAAATGATGCAGATATATCCGCAGCAATGAAAATATTTGGAAAAAATGAATAATATTATGATATGATGGTTTTTTTTTTTTTTTTTTACATTGATAACGATAACGATTCATCAACCAAATAATCAATGCGGGGGTATATTAACTTCATCATGGATGTGTGAGAATTGATGGTTTTTATCTTATCTTTTGTGCAACTGATTCAATTACATATCTTGATTGGTCATTCACTCATTGGGGAAGGTCGCACTACGGAAATTATAGGATAAAACAAAAAAATTACGTACTATCTAATTTCTGATTCAATCTCCGTAATATGAAGTCTCATCAAAAAAAAAAAAAAACGTATCTCTGGGAAACCTCCGAGTCAAATTAGATGAGTTCTGTTTAGGTGGTGATTGTCTTATTGCATAAAATTAGCTAGATGAATTTTTGCTAAATATTTTGTTTTCGCTTAAAAAATTACAATGAAATTACACACTCCATCATATCACATTATTTTTTTTTGAATGCTTTTGGGCAATTATAATGAAAATCGATGCATTAAATCCTAGGAAGCATTGAGAAAGAATTCTATCAGGAATCCTTGTTATCTTATCGCTTCCATTTATCTTAGATTATCGAAATGCGTGCTATTCAAAAGATTATATTAACGTCCGTGCTTTTGATTTATCCGAATGTCATAAAAAAATTTTTCTTTGTTCAAATGTTTGTTTTGATGTATTGGCCCATCATGCGCATCAGGTAATAGATAGTGTTCCTTTCATTCATTCGAGACATGAACACATTCCAATTCATAAGTTTTTCTTTGGCAGTTCATACAATGTATTGAATGACCAATGGAATCTGCCAAAAGAAAATAAAAAAAAAAAATTCAAAAAAAAAAATATTGGTAGATCTTTTCACTCGCATATCAAAACACATCAAATCGGTTCGTCCTAAACGTTTGTATCGTCAATTGATAGGCGGCTTCATTAAAAATTTCCACATTGCTATTTTTTTTTAATAAAAATTCTTTGTCGCACATTTTTAATTAATTTTAAATTTTTAATGACATTTTTAATTTGTTGGCGTATCTTCGGAAAATCTGTTGAGAGTTACAGTTTTTTTTTTTGGTCCTGGATTTTTTATGTTGGGAAAGGGTATTTACCTATTCTGATTCGTTACCATTTAATTGTTATTCATTTCCTTTTTGTCAAATCGGCTTACGATAATAACATTAATAATTCAGCTTAAAAATTTCCTTATTAGATAGAGGTCTACCAAATATTTCAACCGGCTCAACAATTTTACCTACGGTAATATTTTCCCCGATGCAAAATTTTGATTTAAGTTTTGTTCTTTTGGAAAGAGGTGATACCATAATGGCAAAAAATTTCTTTTTTGATGAGGATAAAAGGAGGAACTAACAGCTTTAATGCCGCATAAAAAAAAAAAAAAAAAAATAATAATATGTTCAACATGACATGAGAACAAAGAAAAAAAAAGGGGGGTTGATGAAGAAAATAATATTTACAGTTTTGGATTCTTTTTGAAACAACAAACCCAAAACCCATATTTGTCAATTTTTTCTCTGGCAGTGTACCTGGTGAAACTTTTCTTTTTGTAATTCGTTCAGAGAAAAATTCCAGGAAAAAAAAAAAATTAGCCTTTTGAGATTATCATTATCACGACATTTTTTGAATTTATTTTTTTTTTTTTTGTTTTTTGACAGATATTATCCTGGGAAGAACAAAGAAAATAGAAAGAAAAAAAAAAAAAAAAAAATCCTGTTTTTTTTTTTAAAAAAAAAATTTTAATGTATGACAGATGCATTAAAAATAATTTGTCATAATTTTTTTTTAAAAAAAATCTCGTTTAATTACAGGTTTTTTTTTAAAAAAAACTTTTTTTAAAATTTATTACCAAGAAAGGAAGGTATGGTATCATGAGGCTTGACAATGCTTTGAAATTATTGGACAATACATTTAAATAAATCTCTTTATTTCCATGACACAAAAAAAAATTTTAACAACCAAAAAATCGGGTTTGAAATCAAGAAAGTTCTGAAAGTTCTTCATACTTTATATGGAATTTAGGTGGAAACATATTATAATTTCTGTACTATGTGACCGGTTTATCAGATAAGATAATAAATTCATTTCACATTTACCAAATATATAATTGTCTGACTCGGTTAAATATTAAACCTAGCCCTTCCTTCGGTGCACTAAAACACTTATTATTAGACGGAGAGTCCCTAGGCCCATTTATCTGAAACGCCGTGATTTTGCAAACAATTCTTTTAAAACAATCAAGCATATTCCTTTCAAAAACATATAATCAAGGAAATGAAAATTACTCTTTTTCAATTAGGAAAGAACCATTTAAATAAAACAAGTTAAAGATACCAAATTGGGAAATTCTTGAAAAAAATAACTGTTTCAAAGTTGGATAAACAGCATCGACAAATTTGGTAAGTTATGAGGCAGTGTACCGAGTAAATGTCCAAACAAATTGATTTTCACCAAATAGAGCCTAGCGTCAACATGGGAACATTTACAGAAGATCAAAGAAAGAGGCTTGTTGTTTGTAACGTTGGATACCATTTCGGAATATTTTTAACGCATACTTATGTCAAAAGTCATAATGTAATCAATTAACCAAATGATTTGTAAGCAACCAGTTTCCGAGTTTTTCAAAGTTTTCACATTGTTGCAAAATTTAGGATAAATCCGGATATATTGGGTTAGCATTCTAGTTAAAGGGACTTTGATGGCATTCAAAATTATTTCCCCACTGCGGTAAAGTTGAAAAACATCATCATTTGCGAATCGGATTATTTTGGCACCTTCGAGGGTCCTATTGAGCGGAGGCCATGCTGCGGAGTACCGGAGAAATGTCACCGCAACATCGCTGTGATGCATAAGTCATTACGCATCCCCGTTTTCGGGATTTTTTACCAAACGTTTATTTTCCGTTTGACAATAAAAAAAATTGTATTGATAAAATATATCATCATGAGTAATATTATTATTAATTAGGTCTGAGAAATTTCGCGGACCATCTTTCTTAAAGATCGACGATATATATATATGATGTAGTAAAACTCAATTTGTAATCAACTTCAAAATGATGGACAATTGTGTAATTAATATTACTCAACATTGATTAACCAGATAATTGGGAAAATTGAATGTTTTGTTCAAACTTAATAATTTTTAACTTAAAATGGACTTGATTTAATTGATTCGTGTAAATCATTTCATATAGGTTAAATGTCGAATATGTTTGGGCGCTTGGGGGTTGTGAAAAAAAAGGCGCCAAAAGTGCTATTTTTTTTTACTTTTTATTTTTTTCTTTTGTGCACGTCTTCATATTGTCACCTATAATGTGCGTGTGGACGGTTGGGTTGTCAAACGATGCTGAGAAATAAAACAATAAACAGATTTTTATGGCGTAACAAAAAAAAAAGAATATTATTTCTTTTAGGTAGAGTTTGGGCTTAGTGCTTGCTTCTTCATCTTTCTGAATGGTACATTTGTTCTTTATCTTGTATGACAAAAAACCACATTCTAATTTGTTTTCTTTTGAAGGTTTCTTAATTACAACTTTCTGTATCCCCTTTCATTAGTCACGTTTGAAAATTATTGACACAAATGAGTCGAGTAAATGCTAAGAATCGGATCCACGTAAATGCCATGTAAAACGTTTTCATATAACGATCACGTTTTTCCTAAAAAAAAAAATAAATATGAGCGAGCATGATCATAAAACAAATACGTATTACGTAAAACCGCATGGAAATCGAAGATCTGGCCATGTGTTTGCGAACGAAAGAGCTTTTGCATCATGTGTGGCAATAAAAGCTTCGGACGCAGTAGTGGCCAAGTTGACCGGGATGACGCCAAATGCTTTTTATTCACGTTATAGGAAATCGTTGTTATACGCACAATCAAAAATTTCTTTTGAATCGATGAATCGAGTTTCTTTTTTTGTTTAAAATAAGTTTTGCGCAACGCGGTTTCAGATAATTTAATGCTCCTGTGAATTTCAAATAGAAGGTTCATTAACGGTATAATATTTCCAAAAGAAGAAAGACCAGAAACAACAATGACCACATTCATAAAACTAAATTGTTTTGCCACGCTGACAAGCTTAAATTTATCAAGTAAAATAAATCGGTTAGAAATTCGTCGTCCCGCCCCAGTAATAAACTAACCGTTCCCATGAGATCTAGATATCTTGAAAGGGAAACAAAAAAAAAAAAATAACCGGAGTTTATCATATGCTAATTTTTTTTTTTTGACATAAAAAAAAAATTATGTATTTGTTCGACCATTTTTGTATCTCAAAAGCTCGAAATTTTTATTGTTGTAAAAAAAAAAGGAAAAAAAAAAAATTTTAAAATTTTCCATTATTCAAATGCCGGGTATTTTTGAAATTAAATTTATTATAGTAGTAATGAATTCTTTGAATGTCCCTCATCATTTTATTTTAGATTACCTATTAGGACAAATAATAAAAAAAAAGCTTGATGCTATGTGATATGTGATGATATGAATTTGAAGTATCAATATAAATAAAATAAATGATTTTAATGATTTGCAATTTATATTGTTTAAATTAATTAAATTATAAATAACTTTTTTACATTACTTTACATTATTAATATAAAAAATTTTTTATACGTAATTTATTACAAAAACAAGTATAAATAAATTAGACCTCTCCCTACCGTCAGAATAAAAAAATTTTTTTTAAATAAAAAAAAAATTAAGTCATAAATATATTATTTCCTTTCAAGACGAATATTAAACTGGATCATAAATATCAAATTCAATCAATTAACATTATCAAAGATTAATATAAAAGCAGTAAATTAAAAAAAAAAATAATTTATATATAACCCACGCATTTCATTTCTGAAAGAAAAAAAAAAAAAAATTTATTTTTTTTTTTAAAAAAAAAAAAAAAGTGAAATAATAATACGATGTTCTATCAACCTGAACAATATCAACAATATCAACAAGAACAAGAACAACGCAAAGAATTAGAACTCTTATTTAAACAACAATTATTGCAACAAGCCATCTTTTCCACACCTCCCCCATCTCCAATGACTACGGCATTAGGACATCCAAATCGTTCGTGCGTCAGCTGTAAGAAGAGAAAAGTCAAGTGTGATAGAAAGACACCTTCCTGTTCGGCTTGCCAAAAGTCGAAACATAGATGTCATTACACAAGCTATTCTCCTCCTGTCTTTACTGAGGAACTTCAACAACAACGCGATGAAGATGAAGGGATCAAAGCTATAAAGCAAAAGATTGAAGAATTGGATAATACCACAAGACAACGATGGGAACATGTTCAAAGAATGTATTCTAATATTAAAAACGTCCAACCTGCCATCGCTGCCAAGGTAAATTATCTTTTTCTTTTTTATAACAGAAATTTAAAAATGTTTTTCGATTTTCACTCGCTCACCTTTTTACGTTCGTTTTATCATCATTTACAGGAAGAATTTGTAAACAACTCATCATCCTATTACCTCGAAGATGACGATACTCTTTTCAACATGAATCTTACCAATCCTATGATGCCTCCGACGTCGGCAGCACAATACCCTTTACCACAAGGGTCGCCATTGCAAATGTCACAACAAGTCGCTCAACTATCGCCACCCCAATCACATTTATCTTCGCAACAAGTTCAAATCCCCGCGCCTTATTTATTACAACAACATTATCATCATCCAACTTCAACGGCAACCTCTCCCTACATTCAAACCGAAAATACCGTCTTTCATTCGGAAAATTATTCCCCGTATATGAGAGGAACCATTACATTAAATTATAACTTGAATGGTATGAGACCTTTATTAGGAAGACAAATCGTACCGATTCTACAAGCCATGACTGTAGGAAATGGTCCAATCATTCCACCTACAGGATTCACCGATATTGGTAATTTACAAGCTTGGTTAAGAGAAAAACTCTCAAGTCAAGATTGGACGGAAGAATCGGAACAAGATGAAAGGTTTGAATTACGACCTATCATCGAAGATGTCAATCAGCAATCATATTCATTAAGACAGAGGTTCGAAGTTATTCTTCATCGTGTTGAGTTCGCATCGTCACCTACTAGTGCGCATGGAGACTTTCATTCTTATGAATTTGAAGAGAAACCTCATATTGATATGGATAATTATACAAATTACAGTGAGACCGGAAGTAATCGAAGCAGTATTATAGAGATTGATCCAACAGATATCTTTTTAAATAAGGTTTATTCTTTTGTGAGAAGATTCATAAGGAATCATTCATGGTTACGAGAAAATTTCTTAATGAATTTGAGGGTTCGGTCACCACTCATGCCAATGGGATTCGGCACTTTCAATGATGGCGTCTTCTCCGACATAGCTGTTGAAGTCAGAAAGACTTATTCGTACACCCCTTATCAAGATGTGAAGCTCATCTCCAATAACCATCATGAAGAGTTTGTTAAAGGTCGTTTATTCTTTTAGTTGCCAAATAAAATACATAATGGAGTTAGTTATTTTTGGTATATAACTAATTAATAATAATATGATCACTTGTACCTTTGTCGGAGGTATTAATTTATATCGGGGACGTTATTATTTATTTTTTTCGCCTTTTAATAATTAGAACAGAAAATATGCGTAATTCTAATATTATTATTAATAATTAACACTTAACCTGATCGCCTTTTCGCTTTAAAATCGAATGTTATAATTACCGGAGTCGAAAAGCGCGGTTGGTTAGATCATAATGGAAGAGACTCATCATTGCATATACCACATATATATCTCTCCATATATATCTCATATATCCTGGGAATATGAACATTTTTTTTAGTCAAGGAACATTTTTATTTAATAGAAAATTATCATTTCGACATCACATTTCTATATAGACAAAATCGAATTCACTATCGATTTTTATATCATTTTTTTCTGACACTGTATATAGCGAATTTTCTTACACAAAAAAAAAAAAAAAAAAATTTTTTTTTTAAAAAAAACATTTTGCATTACCCGAAAGCATTAATCTGATGAAAAAAAAAAAAAAAGAAAGGCAAATATCTTTTCAATGTATATATATATTAATACAGCATTTTTTTAAAAAAATTGGCATACAAAATTGGCATTAATCAGTGAAATTTTTACGTTTTCTGAGGAAGGTGAATGGCGGCGGATAAAATTTATAAATTAATAATTTTTTTAGAGTAAAAAATTTTTACGAAACTTTTATGATTAATATGGATGAAATAAGGATTTATTAAACATAGTTAAATAATAATAAGAAAGTTTTTTTTTTTTTTTTTTTTTTTTTTTTACAGATTTTTTCTTATGATTATATTATGAAAATAAAATAAATAAAAAATAAATTTAAAAAAATTCAAAATTTTTGACAGTACGTGTTTGAATGTGGTTTTCTTTTAAGACTTAATAACAAAATTGAATGTTATATAGGTTTTTTTTTTTTTTTTTTTTTTTTGGCTTTCGGAGAATCCCTTTACTAAGTAAGTTCTTATACACTAAAGTTAATCGATCGATATAAAATCTACCTACATACAAGTCTGATTTCGGTATTTGCCGAGTCTAATTTTCCCAAGCGCGAGGGTTTTTTTGTTGATGTTCGGATTACGCACCCTTAAAACGCCTTTTTTACTTATAAAAACAATCCTTTTTAAAGATGAACTTTTTTTTAATATAAGTTAACATGAAAATGGTATATATATAAAAAAAACAGCAAGCCCTCCCCCCCAAAAACCATGAAATCGGTAACGGAGCAACTCTATTCCTTTTCTCCATATTCAACCCCCACTTTAACTTGAGAAGAACCTATTAAATTACGTGTCAACCTCAAAGATAGCGTGATTTTACAAATTTTCCGAATGTAATGTGACACTACTTTTTATACTTGTGATGTCAATGTCAATATATATATATAATATAATCTGATGGTTTTGTATTGAAACAATATTTCAAAAAGAACAACATCAATCCCTATTGATTTTCCTCCGAGTCAAAAAAAAAAAAAAAATAAATAATAAAAATAAAATAAAAATTCAGGTATCGAACAAATATATATATATATCGATCACTTTGTGCAACTGATCCAATGCATATCAATTTGTCCTTTTTCGCGTGTTATCAATTATCGAATTGGGATTTATTTGGTTTAGGAACATATCAAAATAAATTTATAAATTTTTTTAATTTTGAAGTCCTTTGTTTAAAAATTAAAAATTTGATCACATTCTTGTTACAGATTCACAACACACATTCATTGATCAAGGATCATATCTTTTTGCATTATCGTTATCTATTGATTCATTTTCAAATGCAATGATCATGCCCTTTATTCTACTTTCTATTTTGGTAATGACAATAAATATTTACATTCATGGAACGATCAAATGCGTCGCACATAATAAATTATTAATTCATTTATTGCTAAAAAACAATTAGTAGGTTAGGTTTAAGCTTAATTGTAGGAATGGGGGAGAGGGGAAATAATATGAGAAAAAGTTTGCCGTGCTTCCGTAAACTAGGGTTAAGAGAGGGTAAATCCACAACAATCATTGGTTACTCACAACTTTTACTAGTTAATTAACCAAATGCGGGCCAGCGTCAGACAAATATTTATGATTCGATGGGGGAGATATAAACCGATGCACTTAATATTTTTATTGCGAATAAAAGAAGTTTGCAAAAAACCATTGGGTGTTGCTTTTAAGACGGTAAATTTGTATGTAAGGTAAAAATGACCTTACTTTTATCTGATCCAATCATTCGACCGAATAACAAAGAAGAAAGTAAATATGATTATAAATGGTGGGAAGGTGTTGTAAACCTCGGAATGTTCTGCGCCGTGAATTCTTATATATCCTGATTTTCAGGGCTATTTTTATATTTATCTCTTTTTTTTTTTTATATCACAGAATATTTTTTCGTTGGGGGCTTGGGGTTGTGATTACGATGATATCATTTAACATCCAAATGTAGATATGGAATAACCGATCATGTGATCAATGGTGTGACAGTAATAGGAAATGTCGAAGTTTCTTTCATGGATTAGGTAATGATCTACCGGAAAGATTCGGCTAGATTTGCCTGGATTCGTCTAGAAGTTGAGTGAAATCACAATATTTTTTAGTCATGATGAATTCTCTACGTGTGGAAAATTTCAAACAATATGAAAGGATTCGATCATATGGTTTTTTCTTTCGTCGCTGTAAATACGCGCCAAAATGACATTTATGCTTTGTAATTTTATTGATGAAACTTCCGGAGGAATAAAACATAAAAATAAAAAACGATTGTCCATTATTGAGGGCATAATAGAACAAACCATTAATCATATAAACGTTGCCAGATATGGTTCACTAGCCACAGTTACACTATTGAAAGATCAGATATCACCGTCACACAATTCAATTTTTTCAAGTCCGAACTTTCTTACAGCATCTGATTCAAAAATATCGTACATTTATTCTATTTTAAGAAGGAGATGTAAATATTTAATACAGAATACATTGAATACATTACCTTCCTTATCCAAAAGTCATTGATTTCAATGGGTATCCCGAATAAAATAACACTACAAAATCCATGAATAGCATGAATAGCCAAGTGGCATCTTGTCGTGTTGGGGATTGTTGCTTTCCTAATTTAAAAATAACCAAGAGTTTGTGACCTCTCTCTCTTTGTTTATTATCCAAATAAAGAAACTTTATATTTATGAACGTTACCCGAAATTTTTAATTGTTTCCTGTAATGATTTCTTTTTATGAAATCAACAGCGCACGGAGGTCCTTATTTGATTTAAAGAATAAACTTACACGTTGTCAATGCAAGAAAACGAACAAGTTTTTTTATTGTAACTTCTGTTAAAGGAAAGATTTGGACTTTAAGAGTTCATTTATTCTGTGAATGTATGTACATAATTCAAAACGCATTTGAAAATAAAACGTTATTTTTTTTTTCTTCTGTTCCATTTTAAGAAAACAGATTTTAGATCGTTAAATGGGTTAAATGGGTGATATTTAAAATCATTGACAACAAAATGGCTTGGGTAAAACAAATATGTATACAATTAACTCATTAATGCGAAATTCGGGTCTAAAGTAGACGCAAAAGATCCACAATCAGGATATCAATATAAAATTACCAACTTTTATATTTAGGAAATAAAATCCCTTATTTCGATATTTAGGGTAACAGTATCTAAGGTGAAAAGGTTGTTAATGAGAGTTTTTTTTTTTTTTTTTTCTTTAAACAAAACATTAAAAAAACGTTTTAATTTGGTTCATTATTATTATGGGGCTGTGAATCGTTGTTATTAACTTAATAGGAAATTCATTGAGCCACTGTAATTCAAGCCGGTAAATATAGTTCTGGTCTGAATTTTTGAAAAATAAAACAAAAAAAAATTTGCGGTATAAACGCTCAAGGTCTTCTCGTGTAAAAAGAAAATTTGGATATATCACAATTGTTTTCACGTGAAAATTCTTTATTCCGTGAGAAATTATCTAAAATTATTTAAGAACGTACAAATTTACCAAAAAAAAAAAAATACACGTGAAAACTTGGTTATCTATTTATAACCTCGGATTTTTTCTCATCATTTTCTTTTTTTATTTTACTAAATTTATTTATTAAAAACATTACACTTTAAAAAATGAACGATGAAGCCGAAAAAGCTCCAGAAAAAATACCCGAATTAATTTGTGATTCCCCAGATTATCCAGAATTAAAAGCTCGATGGTAATTAATAAATGATTCATAACCTTCCAGTTAATTTAAAATGCTATTTATGAAATTTTCCGTGTTCGTAGGTTTCATGCAGTTGATTTTCCAATATTTGATCCCTTGTCGAATACACAACAAGATGAAGATAAGTATCCAATTGAATGGATACCATTCTCAAAACGAGATTCTAACGCATTAGAAAATGCATTTAAAGCTGGGAAAATCAAAGAGAAAATCCCAGTAAATGAAGATTTCTTGTTTGAGGTTGATATTGAAGATCGAGAGATCATGCCGGTATGCAATAAAAGAATCTTTAACGCTTTAAAAAATCATAAATCAAGTCTAATCTTGTTGTCCTTAAGGTTTATTGGTCCGGACCTATTTATACGGTAACGCGTGCAACATGGTTTTTTCAGAATGAATTAGGTAAAATTATTCCATGTGATGAGAACCTAGCATTACAGTTAGAAAAAGGATATATGTAAGTTGTGATAAATTATTACCTTTTTTTTTTTTTCCTAATAATAATAATCTTTTTTGTTGTAGTGATCAAGAAGCATGGGTTCCACAAGTAGAAATTATAGGACCAGATGGAAGTATTAAAGTTATACCGAGGCCCGATAAAAAATATAATTTAACTGGAAGATTAGCATCACAATATGTTATTTACGCCACACCAACAACTGCTTGGATGATAAAGTTAGTTAATAAATACAATCAATTTTTTCTTTTTTTTTATTTAATAATAAATAATTTTTTTTTTTTTTTAGGGATGACCTAACAGGACAATTATCAAAATCAATTTTTTCAACATTTTCCGGCGGAGTAAATTTAGGAGGATTAAGATTATTTAGAGGATATAATGAAGTAGAAAAGTTTACTTCAAAAAAACCAAATTTAGATAAAATTAATGATTGTTATGACGAAGATACTCCCGAAGCTAGAAAGAGAACATTGGAAAAAAAGCGACAATTACAAGAAACCGAAGATTTTTGTGTTGATGCGAGCGATGAGATTAGAGAGATTGATCACCTAATTTTAGTCATCCATGGGTAAGGAATTGATTGGTTTCTTTTTTTTCTTTATATGTCGTGGTGTTGTAATCAATATGTTGAATTTTATTTAGGGTTGGGCAGAAATTGAGCGAAAGGTCTGGGTATACGAATTTTGTTCATGGTAATGTAAACTTTTCTCCTGTAATGATATTATTATATTTTTTTTATGCAGATTATTTTATTGAAGAGCGTATATTTTTAATAAAGAGGTGAATGTTTTCCGAAAGACGTTAAAGCGTACATATTCCGCAAATCCACCACAAGAGTGTATCGCCAGACTTCCACCAAACTATGAAAAGAAAAAGGATTCCCAAGTTGGTAATGGAATTCAAGTACTTCCTATTCACTGGAGGCGAGAAATTAAGGTAATTTATATATATATTTTTTTTTTATTTTACGTACCCAAATTTTATTTAATGAAATATGATTCGATTTTATTTTATTATTTATTTTTTACTTAAAGTTTGGGGTGGCATCTGAAGATGATGATATGCAAGATCTTGAAGGAGAATGTACGCTTGATGACATGACATTAGATGGAGTTCCAGGTTTAAGAATGTTTATGTCTGACGTGTTAATGGATGGTATTAAAATGAATTAGTTTTAATCGTTTATTGTTGTCACCTTAAAATCGATTCGAATATTTCTAAACGGATATTTTTATCTTATTTTATATAGTTTTGTTATATATGACACCAAACTATAGAGAACAAATGCTACGAACGGTCACCAAAGAAGTGAATAGGGTATATAATTTATTCTTGGAACGCAATCCAAAATTTAAAGAGAAAGGAAAGGTTTCGATTTTTGGTCATTCACTTGGATCATTATTAGCATTTGATGTATTATGCCATCAACCGCCATTATTTAATTCATCAAATGCTATATTTGGAATATTTGATGAAAGATCTCAACACAAAGTTAATGGAAATGATGAAAGTGAAGTGAAGAATTATGAGGAAATTGTTAAATTAGATTTTCCCGTTTGGAATTTTTTTGCGGCAGGATCACCTATAGGATTATTTTTGATGCTTAAAGGACTTAAAGTCGGTTCTAGAAAGTATTTGGTGAATCCAAAGAATGGAGACGAATCAAATGAAGTTGATCATAAAAAGTTCAAGGCTTCAACATCAATACCTTATTGTTACCCTGCAGTAAAGAATATATATAACATATTTCATAGAACGGATCCGATCGCGTACAGATTAGGTACGAATAATTCTAATTTAAATTGATTTTTCTTAATTTATACGGTGAGACTGACCAACTTACCTTTTTTTTTTTTTTTTTTTTTTTTTGAAATTGAAGAACCGCTTGTATCTCGTAGAATCGCATCTCTAGGTCCAGCGTTAATTCCTTATAACAAGGGAGGTCTAAAAGGAGTTACATTAGGAATATCCAAAAAGACCACGAATTTATTTTCAGCAGTTAAGGCATCGTTATTATTTACAAAGAAATCAAAAGCATCAAATTCATCTTCATCGGCGACAAATTCGAGGTCTGGTTCAATGGATATCTCAAGGAAATCGCTAGATTCTACAAGTGAACAGAGAAAACAAAGTTCTATCGGAAATTCAAAAGTTAATGATGGTTCAGATATGCCATCATTTGAAGATTTAAGTGGACCAGATAAACTTACAAGCCTAAACTCCACAGGTAGAATTGATTATTGTTTACAAGAAGGTATATTAGATATTGCTTACTTTACTGCGATTACCGTGCATCTTAATTATTGGTATGATCATGATGTGGCTTATTTTATCTTGAGAGAAGTATATGGAAATATTTATGATGATGGGAACGATGCCTAATTACGGGCAAGTTGGGAAAATGTCATCATATTGGTGCTGTTATTAAAGTAAAGATGAATGTAATTTCATGCATATAAAAAGTATTTATTCAATTATGTATATAATCTATAATCTATTTTGAAATGAATGATACACAAAATTATCAGATGTTTTAATATATACAAAATATAAAATTCCAAAATAAACGTTAGAATTACGGATACACTAATGGCATTTCATGAAAAGTATCTATGGATGGTAAAAAAGTATATCATCTTGATCCAAAAGCACAGTGAATCTAGAAAATGCATCGAATAAATCCATTTTTTTGCTTGATCTGAAACAACGTTTGATTTTTCAGTGAGTTTTTATTCCTATATACCAAGATTAACTTTCTTTAATTAACGCTCCAATACAAATTTTAAAGAGGAGTAAATTAACATTGTTTACACTCACCAATTCAAAATCTTTGCGTATGTGAGTAAACTGAACAGGTGCTTCTTTCATAAGCTATTTTTCTAAATCTGAAGTTAAGGATTCAACATCTCCACATATCATTACCGATTGTTCGGCTCTACCGCATATTCTCACAAAGATGTACCAGAAATAAGATTTCTACTTTCTGTCAACCATTTCAACCATTGCAAATTTCAAAAAATCTGTACTTTCACAGAATATGGTTGATAATTTTCAAAATTTTGGCCTGATTTAGGATTTGCAATCATCGTAATGCTGGCTGACATTAAGTTTGGCCAGAATTATGCAAGATCAGCCAACATTACGATTCGCAAATTCTGGCCTAATTACAGATTTTACAGAATTAAAATGCAGAATTCATTCGTCCCTGTAGTCAATTCATTGCTTATCAAAAATATGCATATATTAATCAGTGTGATTGACATTTTTATACACATCTATATATTAGTATATTATATTCAAGTATATTATATATTTCAAAGAAAAAACTTTTTCTCATAACTTTTAATATATATAAAATTCATGAAAAACAAAAATTATTTTTAAAGAAACTTTTACTTTATTATTATTCTTTATCAAAACATGTCTAACATAACCCTAGATACTTCAAAAACTTCTTTATGAAAAATCTTTAAGACTTAAAATTTGAAGCTTTTATTATACTAAAACTCAAAAAAAGAAATATCACTATCATCAAGTTTCTTTCTTTTCAAACATCTGAAATTTTTGGCTTATTTGCCATCTTAATATTGAATTTGATAAAATCTTTTCAGATGATATTATTTTACAAAACAACTTTCTTAATAATAATTTTATTGAAAATATTATGAAAATTATTTCTTATATTATACATGAAACTGAAATAGAAAATCATAAAACAAAAAAATATATTTAAAAATTTATTACCAATACTTTGTTAACAGCAAACTCAATCTAAGAAAATGAAGATATTATTTCTTTATCAAATGATGAAAAATTTATTTATAATATGAATACTTTATTACCGTTTTCAAAATAGTGTAATTTTCAAAATTTCAAAAATAACATTAACAAAAAAAATTTGAATTTCAAATTTTATGTAATATTAAAATCTGGTCAATTATATACTAACATAATTAAAATTTCACAATCATATTTTTTTTTGCATAAAAATGTCTTCTATTTTGATTTTACCAAGAAACTATCAAATTGGTGCTTGTTTTATATGTTAATTATGCATATATTATGATATAAATTTGATATTAGACAACTGTAATTATGATAAAAATATCAAACTAACTAAAAATAATCATTTTAACATATTATATTTTCAAAATTTAATTTATAAACTAAGCAAAATACATGAAAAAATAAAAAATACCTTATTGTATAACAACCAAAATTATGATTATAAGTTGAACATGAAATTGTCACATCATTTTACACTTTATTTCGCATATAATAGTTAAATTAACTGAGATGCTAAAGTAGTTAATAAAGAATAAAAAAAATAATTTTACCAATTAAAGATAATTCTTCTTAAGAACAATCACAAATAGAATTCAAATTATGAATACCTATCAAACAAAATAAACAAACATTACCTTCTGTAATAGTTAGTTTATTTTAGAAAATTCAAGTTTTAATAAATTTAAAAATGAACTTGAAATACATACCTGTAAACAAGTTGGATTGGTTTATCAAGATGAATATAATTTGACATATAAATCAAGTTCAGAAAGTAGAGCTGAAACACTTTTGGGTAGTGAAGAAGCATTTGTAGAATTTTTGAAAGATTATCAGATTATAGTATTAGGAAATAAAAATGAAATGATTATCATTACACTTAAAGAATTATTCAAGAAACATTTCCATCAGGTATTTATAATTTTATAATTTATTGTTTATTTTAAAAATTATTTATTAAATTGTTTTATATTATTAAATTTTATTTATAAGATAAAGTTTCAGAACAAGAATCTGATAATAAATTGGAAAATAAGAATCATTTTCGTCAAAAAACTAAATCTAATAAACTAATAGTATCAAAAAATGTGTTAAAAGTCATGTATCAAAAGAAGCCAATTTAGATAAAAATGAAATATTAGTTAGATCTTATATGATAGAGTTAAATAACAAATATATTTGTAATATTAAAAACTACAAATATTATTTAATTAAAGATGATTGTTATTTATCTTTAAATAATTTTACAATCAGCTTATAAGCTAAGGAAATTGTATGTAATTTTTAATAATTATTATACATTAAATATATTAAATTAATTTGTTAATTAATATTTTCTTATTATAGGTAAATAAGAATGCAGATTTAAATACTCCTTCTAACCATGCTTTATTTAGTATGATGCATTCAGTAAAAGTAACTAGAAAAAATTCTTTTCTAATGAATTTACTCAATTACATCAATTATCACATTCATCATTATCATACATTCAACACTGTCACCTTTATTATATAATAATTCTGATTATAATTTTGATATCTAAAGTAGATCATGTAGTTTATCACTAACTTCAGATTATAGTTTATTTTCATATATATCAAATTGTAATTTACCTAAAAAAGTTGTATTAACTATAAAAGATTTTTTAGAAGGATTAAATAAAGAATTTAGTGATAGTAAATTTACTTATTATTTGTCTATTTTTAAAGAATAAGAAATTTGTATTAGTCATCTTATAAAATTATCAGATTCTGAATATATTTTGATGAGTATAACAATTATTGGACATAGGCAACATTATGTGATAAAGCAAAAAAATATGAATAATAATTTTTTTTTGTATGTATTTCATTTTATTCAATAGAATAAAGAGCATTGGCATTATAATAAATAGCTTATTTATATATATTTTTAACAAAATTTCAAGTGTTAAATATTATACATCATAAACTGATTCTTCAAAATACTTTTTTGCTATTTCTAATATAGTTTAAGCTAATGCAATTAGAATTAAGTATACTAGATCAAAATGATTTATAAGATCTCTACATCTTTTTAATCAGGATTTTAATACTGAAAAAGCTGTTTTAATTGGGTTAAAGTCCAGTGAATAGGGAGGTAAATAAAGTATTCTACCACTAATATCTTCTATTGCTATAACTAAATTATTGTCATAATATATGCGTGTATTATCCATAACTAATATACTATGCTTAGCTAGATAATAATTCATTTGATTTAGCTAATAAATAACATTATTAATAAAAGAAAGTTTTAAATTATTATAAATAATAATAATATAAATCCTTATTATTATTTGTATTAAAATAAAAGTTTGAAATCTTTCTTTATTACAACTTCTTTTATGACATCAATAGCAATAAAACCTTCTAAAGATAATGCAGGTAAAATGTTATGATGCTTTTCTCTAACAAAAACAATGCTTTTTTTAGCTCTAGTATTGATAGAAGAATAACCATATAACCTGGTAAGTGTCCTCTCATCTTTAGTTATTTCATCAATGAAAATTAACTATTTAGAAGTGTAATTTATTCCAATATTATATAAATAAAATCTGAGCAATGCTGCACTTCTTTCTTTAGATGCTTTTTGTATTTTCTTTTTTGTTATATAACAAAATTAAAGAGAACACCATAATGTTAGTACAGAAACTAATTTTCCTATTCTTTATTTTATTTCATATACCAATTCGTTAAGATACCAATCTACTTTATTTTTAACTAAACTTTCTAATACCTATAAATTATAAATTTCATTAATCAATTAATTATTATACAATAAAAGCAATTATTTAAAATACTTACCAATATATTTTGTATTGTAAATATTTTTCTTCTTTCTACTTAACAGCAAATGGATCTTTCATACATCTCTACTTTTTAAAAATTCTACAGACTTTATTTACAGCAATTTCACTAACATATATTCTTTTAGCAATTTCTTTCTATGTAAAACTGATAGCTTAACAGTAAATAATATACTATTTCAGATCTTCATTTAGATGTTTTCCTATTCTTGATAGTATTAATATATTTTAATTTTTTAAAAAAAACCATTAATTTAGAAAAGAATTTATAAAAATTGTAAAATTCACAAAAATTCACTGAAATTTGCTCAATAAAGGCACTTTTTTTTGTAAATTTGAAGGAAAAAAACTGTCTTATACTTATAAATCTTAAACTTTAATAAATAGAAACTATATTTTGTAAATGTAAAAGGAATTCACAGTATTTATTATATATTTAAAAAAAGTTTCACAAAATTTAAAAAATTCGTGAACTTTTACTATTATGTCACATCATTGAAAATTACACTATTTTGAAAATGGTGATAAATAATGATGATATGCAAATAGATAAAGATAATACTAAATATAATCACATTTCCACTTTTTTTTCTTCTTTTATATTTTTTTTTTCTCTAGCATTATCAATAATATTATTTTCAGATATTGCTCTTATTTATTAAAACAATTTTGCTGAATTTACAGATCAGTATTTATAAATCATATACAATTCACTGCTAGTAAATATAATAATATAATTTTAACAAATAAATAACTTAAGATATTAATAAAT